AGGCAGCCAACATCCATGGATGACCCTGGCATGTAGCTTTCACGTCAAGCTCCAGACACACGCTTGGCCACCAGGACCCAGTCCACATCTCTCCTCGCTGACAACAGCCCGGAGGAGGGCTGGCTGCTGGCCACTTGTGGGGCACTGGGAGGCGCCTGCATTCTTGCTGCCCCTTATCTGCAAAGCTGCCCCGCATTTTGTGAGCGCCTCGCTCCAATTCACTGGAAATTCCAGAACTTGAGCCATGATGGGACTGGAGCCAGCCTGGGAGTGAGAGGGTGGGAAAGAGACGGTGCAGGGAAGTTGGGGAGCAGAAACCACCCCCAGGTGGGACTAGGAAGACACCTCAAGAGGGGCAGCAAGTCATCTTCCCGAAGGCCTGAAGGAGCAGAGAAACCTCATGGGTGTCCCCAATAGACAAGTGCTCCGGGTTATGCTCACATTGTGGTTATCTGTCCTTCCACCCATAGCTGTCACCACCCTGCTCTGCCATATGACATATCCCAGAGGATGGGAAGGGATACTTACCGAACCACAGGAGAAGGATTGACCTCATCTTCAGCCAAAGGGGTGATCCCCAGAAAGGACTTCACCTGAGGCAGAGCAAAGCAGCCTGGGTAAAGCCACACAAACTGCTAGGGCACACTAGCCCCCTTTCTGTTTCGGGGCTCACGTTTTTTCAGAAGTCTTTCCCTCGGGTCTTGACCTAGGACACCTCTGGGCAGCAGGTACATCTGGAGCCAAAAGCTTGGAAAATGCCAGAGCCCCAGACTGCTGTCCCAGCTGGCATATGACTCATGGGGCGCCCTGGGGGAATGCCATCCCCTCCCGGACTCCAGCTTCCTCCTCTGCAATGGGAGGAACTGCCCCAGGTAGTCATAAGGACAAGGGGAGCAATAAACCTCTGAGCCCTTTGCAGAGAGGTCTGAGGCCTTGTTGCTGCCCGAGAAAGAGGACTGGCTTTCTCAGAGCCCAGCCCACGGGTCCAAAGGCCAGTGGGTCAGATTGGCTGAAAGTCTGGAGGGAGCCCTGTACTTCCATGGGCATGGCCTTCAAACCACCTGGAGGGTCAGGCTGTGGCAGTTAGCTGGAATGTGATGGGGGGCCTAGAGGATTTTATCTAAACCGGAAGCAATCCCAAATGTCTCTAATGATGGGCCAGGGCTGTGCAGGAAGGGGAGGGTTGGAGGCCACAGAGCGGGGACTGAAGGAGGCTGGGGATGGATGGTGGAAGGGTCCTGGAGGCAGGCAGGCCTGCCCAGCTCATGCAACACCCACCTCTGCCTGGGCCTGGGTGCTCACTCTGCTCCTGTCAGCCACAGCTACGTTGGCTGGGGGAGGGAGGCTGGCAAGGCAGGGCCAGAGAGGGAACTGGGGCTCTGCTGGCATCTTTTAAATCACATGTGTCAAACACAAGGCCCGCGGGCCAAATCCGTCCCGCCAGGCCTTGCAATGTGGCCCGCACCGCGCTGTCATCACTGCACTCCGCTGCGTTTCCATCACAATGACAGTTTATGACTGTTCAGTAAACCATTCGGCCCGCGATTTAGGCTGGATTTTAGATTTTGGCCCCTTCTCTGATTGAGTTCGACACCCCTATTTTAAATTATACATCCTAATGCTTTGGACTCCTTCCTTCTAGTCAGTTCCCAGAAGCATCAGGGGCCCAGGGAGGAGACAGGTGACCTGAGGACATACAGCTAACCATGGCCCAAGAGGGAGACCCATCTTCTGGATTAGCCCCAGAGCTGTCTCTGCCCCTCACTCCCAGAACAAGGCCTCCAAAGAGCCCTGGCCCCGCCAGCCCACCCTTCCTGCTGCTCTCTGTGCTCAGGCCCCCATCTGAACTTGCTTTCTGCTTATCAGATGAGAAAAGGCAATGCAAATAGAGGCAGACATTCAATGGAGCCTTTGCAGGTGGCTGGCTCAGGTGAGGCGGCAGGAAGAGAAAGAATGGGGCCCTGCAGCCAGGCCCCAGAGGCCCAGAGCAGAACTCTCCTCCCCGCCCGCCCTCCCGCCCTCACCGGGCAGGAAACATACCTGGCTCCCTGCTGCCACTGTCCTTTCTCCAGATCGCTTCTCCGAGAGCACCCCTGGCGTGTGGGGGGTCTCTGCTCCTGGCTCCCAGTTTTTAAACAACGCCTCACCTCTGGAGACTCCCAGGCTGGGCGTAGCCCACTGCAGGGCGGGCCTCAGGAATCTGGCAGCTGGCACGCCCATTCACCGTCACTGCAGCCCCACAGCCCCGCAGCCCCAGGACAGGACTGGGCAAGTGGGTCAGTCCCAGAGGCCTCGCAGCAAGCCTGGCAGTGCCCGCCTGCCAGTGGGTGCCTTGGGGGCGGGGGGAGGGGGGCTGTGCTGGAGGGAGCATTGCAAACTGAAAGCACTGGGCAAGTATTCAGGGTCATTCCAGACCAGGATTCGGGGGGCATCTGTGGCAGGCACTGTGCTTGGAGGGATCAGCTTCCTCTCGTGTCCTAGACCACCTGGGCAGGAGACCAAGCAGAGGACGCAAGATCAGGGCTTAGAGATGGGGTGTTACAGCCCAGACCTGGCCCAGGCTGGGGGGTGAGGAGACCCAAACCCCCAGGATCCCGGAAAGCACCAGCTCCTCCCCTTCCCCCACGGAGAACAGAAACGGTGGAAAATCCCTTGCTTCTTGGGGAATTCGGGAGAGCCTTAAAAGGCCCCAGCTCATCAGGAAGGGGTCAAGGCCCAGCTCACACGAAGGAAGCTTAGAGGCATGAGTAGGACTAAGCTCTAAATGCCTCCCCTCCGGCTCCCTCCCTGGGCTGGCAGGGAGCCCTAGGGCAGGTAACTACCTGTGAGTCACTGCCCCCAGCCTCGGAGGAGGGCTGGTCTCCTGGCCTCTCCCTGCCGGGCAGGAATGCCAGCCTGGAGGGCCAGAAAACAGGCCCGGCCAGAAAACAGGCCCGGCCACAAGTGGTGGAGGCCAAGGCTGAAGCCTAACTGGACCAACTGGCCCTGGCCCCTCGCCAGGCTGGGGAACACAGCTTCCTTTGTGGGACCCTGGGCCGGCTCCTGGCTCCTGGCCACGGGGGCCGAGCCACTGTAAATGGCATACCAGGCCAGGTCGAGAGAATACCTTTCCCCCCGCCAGGTTAGCGTCTGAGGGCTTTAGAGACTTCTGGAAGGTCACCGGTGCACAGCTTGGCCCTGAGAGCCTGCACTGGCCTTGTTCAGGAACAGCACTGCCTCCAAGTTTCTATTTAAAGGGGACTCGTCACTTGGAATCCTGGCCGGTCAGTCTCTCCCGAGCAGGAAGCTCTCTCCACCATGGAGGGTTCCGTCCAAGGAATCGGTTTGAGAACCCTTTAGGTCCGCAGCATTTCGTGGGTTTTGAGCTGGGCACTTTAACCCTCAGTCTCTAATTCAGCCCAAGACATCTAGGTGGGCAGGAGGAATCATCAGCCAGTGGGTAGAGAGTTGCTTAGATGCATAATGGACATTCCAATAAATGTTAGCGCCTTGACCCATATAAGCATTCCAGTGAAACCTGGCTCAGCCCAACATGCCAGAGTCAGTATAACAGCCTCCCTTCGTTGGCCCGACAAAGCACAGAGACCCTCATGGGGTTCTCAGAGGTGCTGACATCCAGGTGCTGAGGCCACCTGCCTGGCTTCTTCCTCTCCTCTCCTCCAATTCCAGGAAGCTCCCCGCTCCTGGAGCTGCCTGGCCTCTGCCCACCACCAGGAAGGAGGATGTGACAACTGCTCATTGACAGTTAACTCAGCAGAATAGCCGTGTGGCAATCCCAGAAGCTCAGCCCAGGTGGGCCAGGCGGGCAGTGGGCCTCCCCTCTCCATCCCCTCCGACGCCCCTGTTGGGAGGCTGGAGCCAGGTAAAGAAGCCTTTCGTGGCTCAGACACCGCAGGCCAGGGCAAGTCCAGGGAGCGGCCCGGCTTTGCAGGAGGGATTGTTCTGCTTGGGCCTCCCACACGCTGCTGCCAAACCCCGAACAGGGAACAGGTCGTTACTTCTGCCGTGCCCAGGAGCAGCCCGGGCGGCCAGCCGCGCTCCTTAGGGACACGGAGCCCTCCTCCTCCTGTAGATCGAGTGCCCCCAGGACTGCAGGGCCCTGGCACAGGCTTTGAACTTCAGAGCCCAATTTGTCGGGACACAAGAAGCCTAAAGCAGAGCCAGAGGCTGGGCTGGAACCCAGCCAGGGCTACAGGGGAGGCAGGGGCGTGGCTCTAACACGGCAGCCTCCCCTCGGCTCTCTCCCTGCCTCCCCCTGTGCTGCACGGGAACCCTCAGCACTCCGTGCCCACTGAGCCTTGGCTCATGGTAACTGACCCCTCCGGAAAGCGGCTGCCAAGTCATCCTTGACTCCTGACTCCCTCGCCCCCACATCAACCCATCAGGCAATTCTGCTGGCTCCCCTTCCAAAGGCAGCTGGCACCACGGCTACCCTCCCAGCTGAGCCTCTCTGCCAGACTTCTCTAGCGGCCTCCGGTCTGCAGTCCAGCCCCCACACACCAGGTCACCACCTCCCCTGTTCAGAGCCCTGTACCAGCTCCCCATTGCAATCAAGGTTAAAACCAAAGCCCTTAAAGAGACCCCACATGATATGACCCGCCCCCCTCAATCACTCTTCTCCATGACTACTGCTCCCCCCTTACTCCTTCCATTCCAGCCACATGGCCTCTTTGCTGTGCTTCAGAATGAGCCGGCTGCTCCATCTGAGGGTGTTGCTCCAGCTGCTCTCTCCATCTGAACCCCTCTCCCTCCCATGTCTGCAAAGCTAACTCTCCCACCTCTTCTAACTCTCTGATCAAATAGTAACTCCGCAAGGAGGCCCACTCTGACGACCCCCTTTACAATGGCCACTAAGTCAGGTGGGTACAAGACTAGTCGGGGGGATCACTTTGTAAGGTATATATAAATGTCTAACCACCTGAACACCTGAAACTGATATAATACTAAATGTCACCTGTCATTGAAAAATAACAAAATAAAGTGACAGCCAAGCTCCCTGCCCCATTCTTGTCCCTCACCCCAGTACTCCCAAGCCCACCTACCCAACATTATTGGTAGGTTGGGATTTGGGGTTGGGGTTTTGTGGGGTTTTATTTTCAACACTTACCTCCTTCTAACTAACTCTGTAACTTGCCTATCTATCATGCTTATTTTCTGTCTCCCTCCACCACAATGTGGTGTCCAAGAAGGCAGAGATTTTTTGTCCACTTTGTTCACTACTAGTTCTTAACTGCCTAGAAATAACTCCTGGAGCATATTAGGTGTATGACATATGTAGAATGAATGAATTCACGATGAAGAGTAGATCACTGATATGGTTAATGAGTCTCTGTGCCCTTGTTAAATGTAGTTCACTCTCAGAGGGCACAGTCTGGGCTTTCGGTCGCTAGAATGAATAGCTAATAGTATTGTAGTAATTCATACATCAGTCAGCTGCGGGGGTTAGGGGTCGTTTTTTGAGGCAGCTTCCCTCAGATGACAGAACTGCCCCCATGCCAATGCAGGCAGGCTCCTCCTCTGCCTGCTCATCAGCGTTCCTGGCAGTGTCTCTGACAAGGAGAGGAGTGGCATAGGAAGATACTGTCTCCATTATCCATCTGTCGGACCTAAACGATCCAAGTTGCTAACGAGATCAGTCAAGATCTGATCAATGAGATGTCAACGGATAAGGAGCGAGGAAAGGAGGAAAAGAGGATGAAAAGGAGAAAAGAGATGAGGAAGGATACGAGAGCTTGGTGCAGGCTGTGCATGCTGATGCTCAGGTGTTGCAGGAAGGGGCACCAGGTGACTAAGGCGCAGGCCTCACCTCCACACAGTGAGTCACGGCTGAGTCCTTGTCTGTAGGACAGGGTGGGCTCCAGGAGTGGTGCTGAAATTTGCCACGTGACTCAAGCTGGCGTGGCCCTCACTTCAGCACACCCGCTCAAGAGCCCAGACGATCAGTCATTCTTCTGTGCGCCTCCCCAGGAAGAGAGTGGGTCTGCTGTGTTACTGAGCAGACAGGCGCCAGCTCGGGCAGAGGCCAGCAGTAAGCACAGGAAGAGCCTGGGCTGCCTGTCATGGGGGGGACTCTATTCCAGACCCTTCTCTCTACTCCCACTCTCATCTCCCCAACCTGCATGTCTGCCCAACGGACAACCGTGCACATTGGCCTAGGCCTGAGGTCTGGGAGACATCAGGCAGTCAGCCTAAATTAACTACAGCTAGCATTTAGCCGGGTGCTCACAGCATGCCAAGCATTATGTCTATTAATTCAGTTAACGCCCACTACATTTCTTTGGAGGTAGACACTCAATTCCCCTCCCTTTACAGATGGAGAAAATGAGGCACGTTTTCAATAGCTTGGTCCCAGCTAGTCAGCGGTCCCAGACCCTTACCTGTAATTACACCTGACTCTCTGACTCCACCCTTGGGAATCCTTAACCGGAGTTGAGATTCTGAACTTCATGTTTCCCAAACCAAACCAAGACAATCTAAGAATGTCTCTTCGAGTCCTTAATCCAGCTTTTAGAGCCCTGATATTGACTGAGGGCTCCTGGGGAGACACTGCAGAAACATCTAGAACAGAGACCACATTTTGTTTGTTTTCCATACTAACGGGCCCTCTTGTGTGAGCTCAGCTGGAGAAGGTGCTGGCCCCCAGACCCCTCATCCCAGAGACTCTGATACATACCCTCAGGGTTTCCCCTCCCAACAGGAAGCCACTGTGAGTGAGGACAGCAGCACCCTAGAAGGAGTGAGAAGACAAGAAGGTGACCAGACAAACATCACCGTGAGCTGATAAACTCGCACAAAGGGCGTGATGACCACAAAGGGGGTGATGACAGATAACACAACTTCCTCCTTCACCCCAGGAAGGGAGATCCCCTCCCCTGAGGTCAGGCCCTTGAGTCACCTGGGGCGGGGGGCACTCAACTCCTTTTGTTCTATCTCCCGGGTACCCCCCAAAGTGTCCTACCCCCTCCCTCCTGAGGGGTACAGCCAGGGCAGCCTGCAACTCAGTGGAGTCAAATGCTGGCACATGGCTGGCTGGCTTCCCAGAGAAGAGGGAGGAGTATCTTGGCATTTCTCCCACCATCACTGCCCTACCTTCCTCTGGCAGACAGGCCAGCTCATGACCACACCCCCTCCTCCACCCCCAACCACCTCTACTGCCTTGCCTGTGCCCTCTGGAAATTAGTTTCTAAGTCCATCCTTGTGACCTTTCATCAGCATGACCCTGCAATGCCTGTGGCCACATGAGGTCTGTGCTTGAACTTGAACCTCTCTTCAATCCGAGACCTAGCTTCAACTCTGTGGCTCCATAGAAGCATGACCTTAGCCCCTCTAGGGCCTCAGTCTCATGATTCATAAAGGTGTTGGGCCGAAACCGGTTTGGCTCAGTGGATAGAGTGTCGGCCTGTGGACTGAAAAGTCCCAGGTTCGATTCTGGTCAAGGGCATGTACCTTGGTTGCAGGCACATCCTCACTAGGGGGTATGCAGGAGGTGGCTGATCAATGATTCTCTCTCATCGATGTTTCTAACTCTCTATTCCTCTCTCTTCCTCTCTGTAAAAAGTCAATAAAATATGTATTTAAAAAAATAAAATAAAATAAAATAAAGGTGTTGGATTTTTCTGGTTCTCAATGCAGGCCACCCCTCAAAATTACTTCCAGAGCCTGTAAGACCATATCTGCAGGCCAGGCCCCACTCAGGGGTTGCATTGGCCTGCAGAGGGGCAGGACATTCAATGTTTGCCAAGCTGCCCTAAGGCCCCCTCCAGCTCTAGGATACTGTTCTCAGGGGCTGGTGGGTTGGGACAGCAGTGAAAAGCTTGGACTTGACCCTGAGAGAGGTGAAGCTTCAAGTCTGCTTTTGCACTCACCAGCTCTGACCGTCTGACAGTGGAGCTGCAAAGCAAGCTGCCTCCAATGGGAACAGTTAACAATCTACCTCGTGGGTCCTTGTAGAGACAGAAGACAACAATGTGTGTACGTAAACCTCTCAGCCAAGTGCCTGGCCAGGTGCTGCTCTATAATGGGTGCCTGTCCCCATGTGTGTGCGCCACACAGAGGTGTTTGGGGCCATGATCAGCAGCCTGTACAGTTGTTCTACCAAAAAGCAAATATCACTCCCAGGCAGACGTTTCACAGCTCACTCACAGGGCAGTGAGAGGCCGGGCTGCTCCCTTCAGGTGGCCCCAGGTTCCAACCTGAGAATCTGTGCTCTGTGCATTCCACTCTGCCCCATACAGGCTGCAGGCTCTCAGGAGCCATGACCTGGACCAGAAGGAAAAACGCGCACTCCGGGGGCAAACTGAGCTCCCCAAGAAGGGCCACCCATGCTTCTGGCCTTTCTGAACAGGGGAGGACAGAAGGTGGGGCTAGGGGCTGTTTACAAACAGAGGACAGAGGAGTGAGTGGCTTCAAGCGTAAGAGTGACATAGATTTATGGCATAGTCTTATGGCCTCGGGTGTTAGTAAAACTGGAGTCCACACCTGCTTAAGATAAAGAGGCAACGCCCTTCTGGACAGCACGTGTGTTACTTAGCTTGGGGCAGTTGTCCGGCAAGTGTGAGGCCTACAGAGAGAAGGCACTTTCTCTTCCTGGGGCCACGGTGAACAGTTTAGTTTGTAAAACCTGAACTATCACAAGTTTGCCCTTCTGGAAAACTTTGGAAACAGAGACAATGAGATCTCTGCAAGTTGCACCCAGAGGGTACATATCTGTGAGGCATACATGCCACTCCAGTTTCTAAGGGAGAAACCACTGCGGGGTCAGACAAATCTTCAAAGAGATAATTCCAGTTTGTTGGGGGGTGACCAACCATTCTAGTTTGCCAGGACTCTCCTCGTTTAAGCTCTGCAAGTTCCGTGTCCCAGGACACCCTTCAGGCCCAGATCAATGCTCACTTGGTTGATCACTGATAGTTCTTTTCTCCCAGACGAGTTTAAAAGTATTACCTCATCTCCTAACCAGTTTGGCTCAGTGGATAGAGCGTCAGCCTGCAGACTGAAGGGTCCCAGGTTAGATTCTGGTCAAGGGCACATCTCCAGTAGGGGGTGGGCAGGAGGCAGCTGATTGATGTTTCTCTCTCATCAATGTTTCTAACTCTCTATCCCTCTCCCTTCCACTCTGTAAAAAATTAGTAAAATATATTTTAAAAAATAAATAGATAAAAGTGTCACCCCAAATGGCTCAGTGAAGGTGCATAATGATCTGAGAAAGTGAAGCTGGCTCTGAGTCCAGGAAAAACCTGGATGGCAACATCACATGAGAACAGAACTCTCCCATAGGCAAGAACTCGGGAAGCTCCTGTATGAATGTTAGCCATCTTAGTAAAGCTGTCCTATTATTATTATTATTATTATTATTATTATGTTTTTATTTATTTCAGAGAGGAAGGGAGAAAGAGCTAGAAACATCAATGATGAGAGAGAATCATTGATCGGCTGCCTCCTGCAAGCCCCCTACTAGGGATTAAGCTGACACCCTAGGTAAGTGCCCTAGCTGGGAATCAAACCGTAACCTCCTGGTTCATAGGTCTAAGCTCAACCACTGAGCCACACCAGCCGGGCTAAAGCAGTCTTTTTTTGTGGACTTGAGGAAAGAAAATAGTAGCCAAAAGGACTTTTGTTTTGGAGACTCTATTCCTGCTGCTATGAACTGATGACAGGAGGCTTTTCCCAGCCAGAACACACCACAGACCCATACCAAGCTTATAGATGCATTAACACCTCTGTCTTTTTCAAGTCAAATACTGTTAAAACAGGTTGCCCCTTCTTGACTTGGGGCTATTCTTTTTTTTTTTTTTTAAACGTATTTTATTGATTTTTTACAGAGAGAAAGGGAGAGTGATAGAAAGTCAGAAAGATTTGATGAGAGAGAAACATCCATCAGCTGCCTCCTGCACACTCCCCACTGGGGATGTGCCTGCAACCAAGATACATGCCCTTAACTGGAATCAAACCTGGGACCCTTCAGTCCGCAGGCCAACGCTCTATCCACCGAGCCAAACCAGTTAGGGCATGGGGCTATTCTTAAAGTGAACATGCACATGCACACTTACACACAGGCACACATGTAGAAACACTCAACTTCCTTGCACTTTTACCTATGACATATTGTCTTGTTAGTTTTGGCCTGATGCTCCATTTGCTAAATTGGATTTGAAATGCACTTTGACCTGTACACACTACATCATCTCCAGATTAAAATCCAGAGTCCACAGCCAGGCACCTAGGGTCCTGCTGAGAAAAGCTGCATTTCTGGCCCTAGCACTCAGCTTCCTTCACTCAAGTGCTCTGATTCAGCTATGCTGTTCCCCTGACCACACTTGGACTTGAGCCACCTGGCTCTCTCTACACTGCCCTCTCTACCTCGGTGTCCTTGGCTAAGTCCTAAATCCAAGACATGCTTCAGGTTCCTGGGCCAGTGATGGCTACTCTGCTGTTCTCTGTCAATTCTTCCCAAACACCAGCAGCAGAACTTCTCGATACCATTCCATTAGTCATCAGTTCTGTTCTGCTGTGTGAATCCCTTCTGTGTCAGCTTGACAAAAAAAGTTTTGCAACTTTTAGTTATTTTGTGATTTGTCCCCAAACCTGGATTGCAAACTCTTTGACAACAAGGACAACTCTTGCTCACTCTTTTTACCCCTAATGCAGTGCAAAATCCAGTGTTTGCACATAGTAAGTGCTCAATAAATAGATATTGATTTATTAGTATGGATCCTTAGGGCAAGGGAAAACCCAACAGATCATACAACCTCTCTGAGCATGTCCTCGGGTGAGAATTTTTTTTTAATGGGATAAAAGATGGTTTCCATGTTTGGGACTTTAGGAATTGGATGGAAAGTGATGCCATTTACCAAGAGGGATAAGACTAAGAAAGGAACAAGAATTTTTGTAAATAAAAAACATGAAAGAATTTCTTTTTGTGCGTATTAAGTTAAAGACACCCATTGGCTATCTAATAAGAGCTACCTATTAGACAGCTTAATATGTAAGCCTGAAGCTCATGAGAAAGAAACAAACTTCAGGGTCATTATCGTATGGAACGGTGCTGTCTAATACAGTAGCCATTAGCCACACTGATGGGGTCATTTAATTAAAATTTAGATTAATTAAAATTAATTAAATTATCCATTCAGTTTATCAGTCACTTAGGTCAATTTCAAGTGTTCAATATTGGACAATGCAGATATATAACATGTTCGTCATTGCTGAGAGTTCTATAGGACAGCACTGAGCCTCCCGCCAGGGAACTGAGGAAATCATCTAGGAAGTGGTTCACCATTCTGGCTTACACATGAGAGTCACCCCAGGAATTCAGAGTCGATTCATCTTGGGGAACTCCCAAGATGAATTTGTAAAACAGTCCTTTATAAAAGCTCCCAGGATGACTAAAGTGGAGCAGGGCTGAGAACCACTAACTTAGGAATATAATGCAGGCAGAAGGGAGGGGTCATGGCAGGACACTGGGGTGCCCCAACAGTAAGAGCAGTGACTCTCTAACTTGGCTGTACATTAGAATCACTTTTAGACTTTTAAATATTGCCCTAACCAGTTTGGCTCCGTGTATGGAACATCAGCCTGTGGATCGAAGGATGGAGCATCAGCCTGTGGATTGAAGGGCTCCAGGTTTGATTCTGGTCAAGGGCACATATCTCAGTTGCAGGCCCCTCCCCGGCCTGGGCCCTGGTCAGGCTCCTGCAGGAGGCAACCAATCAATGTGTTTCTCTCACATCGATATTTATCTCTGTCTTTCCTTCTCTCTGCAGCTCTCTCTAAAAAGCAATGGAAAAAATATTCTTGGGTGAGGATTTAAGTAATAAAAAATAATAATAATAATAATAAATATTACTGATGTCTGCATCCTGCTTAGAGGGATTTCTGATTTCATTGCTCTTCGTGTTACCTGGTTTTCAGAAATTTAAAAAGCTTCCCAATGTTTCTAATGTGCATTCAAGGCTGAGAGCCACTGATTGAAAGAGGGTAAGATATAACAAAGGAGACCTAGAGAGAAGGCACTAATATAGTAGGATGGAAAATAGTAGAGCGCAGTGTACCTAAAGCAATAACTAAAAATAAAAAGGAAGAAATTATTATATCTGTTGGATGCAAAAAGTCACTTCATTCAATAAACAGCCTGCAGTCTATTAGATTTTGGGGGTGGATGGGAATGGAAACCATATGGCAATGGGTAAAAGAGTGAATGGGTGATGAAGAAACAGTTGCAGTGATTGTAGACAACTGAAAAATAGGTTTAGTTATGAAGAGGAGCAAAGAACCATGCAACAGCTGGATAGTGATTTGGGGTCATGGACTAGATAGACTTTTTCAGATATTAGAGTATGCCCTAGGACAGTGGTCAGCAAACTCATTAGTCAACAGAGCGGCAAACCATGGCTCGTGAGCTGCAGTTTGCTGACCACTGCCCTAGGGCCTAGACGGTTTGGCTCAGTGGATAGAGCATCAGCCTGTGAACTAAAGGATCCATTCTGGTCAAGGGCACATGCCCGAATTGCAGGCTCAATCCCCAGTAGGGGGCATGCAGAAGGCAGCCAATCAATGATTCTCTCTAATCATTGATGTTTATTTTATTTATTTATTTTTTTAAATAAATTTTTATTGTTCATATTATTACAAATGTTCCTTTCCCCCCCCCTTCTCACCCCACCCTCTGCCCTTTCCCCACCCCCCATTGTCCTCATCCATAGGTGCACAGTTTATGTTCAGTCTCTTCCCACATCCCCCTCTCCCCTTTTCCCCAAGAATAAACAGTTCACTCCCCTTCCATACCTCTGATTCTATTATATTCAACAGTTAATATTGTTCCTCAGATTTTTTTTTTAGTTTCCTTGGTTTTTAGATTCACTTGTTGATAGTTACGTATTTGTTGTTCATAATTTTTATCTTTATTTACTTTCTCTTCTGAAAGAACCCCCTTCAGCAATTCATATAATTCTGGTTTGGTGGTGATGAACTCCTTTAGCTTTTTTTTATTAGTGAAGCTCTTTATCTGACCTTCGAATCTGAGTGATAGCTTTGCTGGATAGATTATCTTTGGCTGTAGGTTCTTGCTATTCATCATCTTGAATATTTCTTGCCATTCCCGTCTGGCCTGCATGGTTTCTGTTGAGAAATCAGCTGACAATCGTATAGGTGCTCCATTATAGGTAACCACCTTCTTTGCTCTTGCTTCTTTTAATATTCTCTCTTTGTCTTTTGCTCTTGGAATCTTAATTATGATTTGTCTTGGTGTGGTCCTCTTTGGATTCCTTTTGTTTGGAGTTCTGTGCGCTTCCTGGACTTGTAAGTCTAATTCTTTCACCAGGTGGGGAAAGTTTTCTGTCACTATTTCTTTCAGTATGTTTTCGATATCTTGCTCTCTCTCATCTTCTGGGACCCCCATAATTCTGATGTTGGTTCGCTTGAAGTTGTCCCAGAGGTTTCTTACATTATCTTCAACTTTCTGGATTCTCTGGCCTTCTTGTGTCTGCAGAGGAGTGTCTTCTGGCTCTTTATGTTCCAAATCTTTGGCTTGATTCTTGCGATCTTCCATTCTGTTTTTAGGACTCCATAAAATATTTTTTATTTCAGACAATGTATTCTTTATTTCTTGTTGATCCCTTATTATTTCTAGTTGATCCCTTTTCATATCCTCATAGGTCTTGTTTATTTTATCGGCCTTTTCTAGGAGATTCTTGAACATCCTTATAAGTGTGGTTTTGAACTCTATATCCAGTCACTTTTTGTCCTCCATTTCTTTCGTTTGTGATCTATTTGGTTTAGGCATTTTCGCAGGCAGCTTTCCTGATGGGGCAGGGTTTCAGGGTGGAGCCTACAGCCTTGGCTTCCGTCAGCCCCGCCCTATGCGACTCCTGAGACTCAGGGTCCTTCAGTACTTGTTGCGAGCGCCTCTGAGAGAAAGGTGCCCTTGATTTTCGCCTGCTGCCAAACTGTCTATGCTCTCCCCCAATGAGTCCGGTATTGGGGTTCAGTTCAGTTGGTAGTGGGATTGGAGGTGGCGTTCAGAGCAGTCTGGAGCCCCTGTCTCCTTCCCGTCAGGGCAATCCCGCAGCACAGCCGGCCGGCCCTTCTCTGTGCACAGTGTGCGCGCCTCCAGGACCTCCTTTCGCCGCTTCCCCGGAGTCCCGCCTTACAGCTCGGCTCCCTATGGATGAGCCTGGGTCCCCGGGGTCTGGCCTAGAATTGGGGTTCAGAGCAGTTGGAGCTGGGCCCAGCACAGTTGGAGCTTTTCTCTCCTTCCCGCTTGGGACCGCCAGCCAGGCACTCGGCCTCCCTCCTCTCTGGCTCTGTCCTCTCCACGCACGCCGCGTGTCTCCGTACCTTGGGCTTTTACAGCTCCTCCGCGCTTCCTTCTGGTTTTCTCCTTGCTTCTTGTTGTAGAATTTCCAGTCAGTCGACTTTCCTGTAGTTCTGAGTAATGTCCATTTTATATTTTAGTTGTATTTTGTTGAAATTGTTGTGTGCGGCTGCGGCTAGTTGCCTACCCGAGCAGCCATCTTGGATTCTCCAATCATTGATGTTTATATCTCTCTCTCCCTCTTCCTTTCTGAAATCAGTAAAAATATATGTGTGTGTGTGTGTGTGTGTGTGTGTGTGTGTGTGTGTGTGTGTATATATATATATATATATATATGAGTATATTTGTATGCTAACAGAATACTATAATGAAAGGAGAAAATAATTATTTAACAAGGGGAGAAATATGCAGGAAGTTCACTCCCTACCCAAAATCCATACCCTCCTTCCTTCCTGCTAAAGATCTCCAGTATTTTTCCAGTATTCGGGGCAGTTGTCCTTTCTCCAGCTCAGAGATTAGCTTAGACGTGTGGTTCTCAAACTTTAGCATGTACCAGAATTACTTGGAGCATTCTTTACAACAAAGATAGCCTGTCCTGCGTGCGTAATTCAATAGGTTTGGGCAGGAGCTCAAGAATCTGCATTCCTCCCAAGTTCTCAGATGATGTTGCTGCCGCTGCTCCCAAGGACAGCCTTTGAGACTACTGGTCTAAGCTCACGATGGTAATCCTTTCCTTCAAGTAGTCTTAGGGATGGGCATTCATCCCAGTTCTGGCCATGAAAGGAAGTCTCTGGAAGGATTCTAGGCAAGCTTTCTTTGGCAATGAACAAGAAAGAACATCCTCTCTCTTTTCACTGGATGTTGTCATATTGAATGAAATGCCTGGCACTGTGGCAATTACCTTGGAACCAACATGTGAAGACTATAATAAGTCTCCATGCTGGGGATATAAGATTGAAAAGATGGAAAGAACCCGGGTACTTGATAATATTACACTACCGAATGAATTGATTCTGAAATCCCCTCTCAGTAAAATCATGTATTTTTCTTATTATTATTGAATTAGCTTTTCTTACTTGTAGCCTAAAGCAACCTGAGTTTTTCATGGACTCCCAAAACCTTAATTAGATGCGTCTGGATTAGATGGAGGGACAGTTCTTTATAAAAAGAATCAGGGATGCTTCCTCCCTGGTAAAGTGACAGAAAGTAGAGCAGATAGATTTGGTGTTTGGAAAATTAAGTGGTTCCTGTCTGATTCTTTCTATTTCACTGGGTCATGAGGTGTCTGTGGAAAAATCTTTTTAGAGAGTAATAAAGATAAGTGACTTGAGTAACACAATAAATTATAACAGATTGCCCTTTTGAGATTTGTGGTCTTAAATTCACAGAAAATACAATCGGCCTGAACGGATAATTTACTCCAGCAATAATAAACTACTTAGGTATAGATTGACATAGAGCAGATAGCTGACTGACTCCAACGATAGTTAAGTCTTTCTGGATAAAAATAAAAGAAACAGAGAAGGTCAAGAGAATTCAAGGTGACAATGGACCACAGAATCAAAGCCAGGTTCTTCCCATCCTGGTTAGTCTTCCTAGTCTTTGTCAAGTTTGTTGTTGCTGTTTGGTTAATCCCCATCCGAGGATATTTTTACATTGATTTTTAGCAAGTGTGGAAGAGAGAGGGAAAGTCAGAGAGAAACATCAATGTGCGAGAAACACACTGATTAGTTGTCTCCCGCACAAGCCCTAACCAAGGCTGGGCCAGGGAGGAACCTGCAACCAAGGTACATGCCCTTGACTGTAATCGAACCTGGGGCCCTTTGGTCCACAGGCCGATGCTCTATCCACTGAGCCAAACCTGCTGGGGCTTTGTCAAGTTTGAATGAGTTTTCTCCTGTCAACCCAACAAGAGCTCATAGCATGCAGCTTGTATTAGTTCTCCATCGCTACCTAGCAAATTACCACAAACTTATTAGGACAAAATGCACTCACATGAACTCACACTTCTGTAGTCAGATGTCTGGCACAGTGACTTGGGATCTCGTGAAGCTAATAAATCAAGTTGTCTGGTGAGCTGCATCCTCATCTGGATCTTGGGGGTCTTCCTTCAAGCTGATGTCATTGCAGAATAATTCAGTTCCTTCCTGGGGTAGAAAGGAAATAAAATCAAGAGATGCTTAAGAGGCTGGATGACAAGTCTTGGTGAATGTTTAAATGAGAGGTGACAGAGGGGGAGACAAATAAAGGATGGCTCCCAGGCTTAGGGCCTGAGCTACTCGGTAGACAATGAAGCCTACAATAAAAAAAGATGTTGGGCCCTAACTGGTTTGGCTCAGTGGATAGAGCATCAGCCTGTGGACTGAAAAGTCCCAGGTTCAATTCCAGGCAAGGGCATGTACCTTGGTTGCGGGCACATCCTCAGTGGGGGATGTGCAGGAGGCAGCTGGTCGATGTTTCTCTCTCATCGATGTTTCTAACTCTCTATCCCTCTCCCTTCCTCTCTGTAAAAAATCAGTAACATATTTTTTTTTTAAATATGGTGGTGCAAGTTTAAGGGGTAGAAATGTTGAATTTGGCTTTACACCAGCTTGACACCTGCCCGATATCCAAGTGGAGATGCAGCACAGACAGGGGAGGCAGGATGAGAGCTCAGGTTCGTATGTCATCTGCATGGAAGCAGTAATGGGAGTCTTGGGAGAAAACTAAATCCCCAAAAGGAGTGTATAGAGTAAGAAAAGAGGCCCCAGCACTGGGTCCTGAGAAATGCTGACATTTATAAGTCTTATAAAAAGCAAAAGTGAGTCCTAATTGGTTTGGCTCAGTGGAGAGAGGGCCCCCTGAGGACTGAAGGGTCCCGGGTTCGATTCCAGTCAAGGGCATGTAGCTTGGTTGTGGGCACATCCCCAGTAGGAGGTCTGCAAGAGGCAAGTGATCAATGTTTCTCTCTCATCGATGTTTTTAACTCTCTATCCCTCTCCCTTCCTCTCTGTAAAAGCAATAAAAAAAAAATATCAACAAGAAAAAAAGCATAAGTGAGAAAAAGAACTGAGGAGTGTCCAGAATAGGGCAGGAGGGAAACTAGGAGATTATAACATCCTGGAAGCCAAGGAGAAGGAGTTTCTAGACAACGGGAGTGGTCAGCAGTTGCTAGGCATATGCAGTTGATCATTTATGAAATTGTTCAATATTTGGCTCTTGCCTGCCATTGCTTCATTTCCTTCATTTCCCAAAACCCATCCTTTATGCTCTAACACTAGTCTTGCCTCACTTCTCCTGGACCATGTGATGTTTTCTCATACATCCTCCCATTTTTACATGCAGTCCTTTCTCATTTCAACCTCCCAACCCTGGCACCCACTCTACCCCAGAGTTCCCTGGTGGACACTATCCATCCTTTAACACCCTAAGCTGCTCATCCACTCTCGGGCCTTCTTTGACTACCACCTTCCTGAATTGAATCAATATATTTCTCATTCTATTCTTTGTATACCAGGCAAATACTAGTATTTCCATTATTGTGCCTATCCTGGTATGATGTAACAACTTATTTAATGTCTGTGTCCTCAACTAGAATATGAGCTACTTTGAGGCAAGGACAATTTCGTATTCTGCTTTTATAACTATACTTAACACGGTATTGAATACATAGCTAGCATCAACAAAGGTTTTTGGACCTTATTGTTGCCTATACGTCCCCCCCGGGGAATGTGAATGTCCTGGGCTAAGATAAAAGACCATGACATGCCGAAACCGGTTTGGCTCAGTGGTAGAGCGTCAGTCTGTGGGCTGAAAGGTCCCAGGTTCGATTCCGGTCAAGGGCATGTACCTTGGTTGCAGGCACATCCCCGGTGGGAGGGGGGGGGTGCGGGAGGCAGCTGGTCGATGTTTCTCTTTCATCGAGCTCTCTATCTCTCTCCCTTCCTCTCTGTAAAAAATCAATAAAATATATATTAGGGGGGGGAAAAAAGACCATGACAACTGCTGACATGGAGCAGGAGGTAAAGACAACTGAATAATAAAAGAATAATAACTGAATCAATAACGGATTGATTACTTCATTTGAGCCAGACCACTAAGCCTTTATAGTGGTCTAGCTCACTCAAGCCTCAAATAGGGGCTACCATCTTATAGGGGCTCCCATCACTCTCACTTCACAGATAGGAAAATGGAGGCTGGAGAAGGTAAGTCACTTTTCCAAGGTCAGACCCTGGGAAGAGGAGCTAAGACTTAAAGGAAACCAAATCTGCTTGGCTCCAGATCCTTGTACTCTCAAGTCCAGCTGATATTTGAGCTGGGGGAAGTCCCTTGTGCCAGTGGCAGTCTGTAAAGTATAGCGCTGCGATTCAGACGTGGTATGTGGGCAGCAGGGTGCCCATGGCTACCCAAGGCTCCTAGCACATGGGCATGCACCAGCAGCTCGTGGGTCTGTGTGACCAGGAGCCATGAGGGACAAAAGCAGAAAGTCTGTTCCTCAGAGTTAACTTAACAAGGTCCTGGTGTCCCAAGAGCAGGCTGGAGGGGTGCCCAAGAGTGAGCCAATAGCTGCCACGTTGTCAGACACTAAGCTGGGAATGCAAGTGAAAGGTGAGGAACCCAGAGTGGAGGGAACTAAGCCAGGTTGCCAGGGCTTGGGTAATTATAACCCTAAGGACAAGCCAATGTGCCCAAAATAACTTCCCGAGAGAGTCTTCACTGAGCCTTTTGCAGTCTCTGTCCCAGGACTGACTTCCAGGTCTGTGAAACCAGCATGGATTGGGCCCCTATTATATGTTCGCACCAGGAAGGGAACAAAAAGCTGGTCTAGCACAGATTCCGGGCCAAGCCCACGGGAAACGATGGCGAGCTGCATGGCACCGTCCACCACACAGTGCCAACCTGCGCAGCACAAGACACAGAGGCGGCTGCAGTCCATAGAAAGGAGCGGTCAGGGACCACTGGCACAGGCGGTGGTGGCTTCTTGGAGCCCATGAGTTGAAGGAGGGAAGACAGAATAGAAAGGGATCAGCATTCCAGGGAGAAAGAAGCGTACAAGCCAAGGGGAGGCAGCAACAATGCAAACGAGTGACTTCTTGGGCTGTGAGAAACCCACCTGTGGAGCTCAGGGTTCTTGTTGGAGCTGAGAAGGGGAGAAAGATGAGTAGAGAAGATCAGATCACAGAAGCTCTGGATTCCAAGAATATTGGTCAAGCAAATTCAACACGCAGAATCCAGAAATTCATCCTGTGGGTGAGAAATCACCTGAGGCTTCACATAGGCAATGAAGAATAAAATGTAATTTAGGAAGATTTATTCGGTTGTACTGTTTGAGATGGATTTGTGAGGAACTAACAGCAAACTCCCCCCATATACACACACCACCACCACCAAAAAAAAAAAAGAAAATGCTGAATGCTTCTTTGAGCATGCGCTAAAAATCTTACATGGTTCCCCACACACCAGGCCTCACAGGCCAGTGAGAACGACATTCATTAATCCCATAGTCACCTATGAAGCATCTACTATGTACCAAGAAATTTACTGGGCCCTGGAGACCTAGGGAAGAAATAAACAAAGTCCTGGTCCTCATGAAGCTCATTTTCCAAAGAATATGGAAGACAACTCAAAAAGCAAACCAATAATCATCTATCTATACCAGTGGCCGGCAAAATGCAGCTCTCAAGCCACTTGCGGCTCTTTGGCCCCTTGAGTTTTTAGCAAAGGCCAGCTTAGGAGTACCCTAATTAAGTTAATAACAATGTACCTACCTATATAGTTTACGTTTTAAAAAGTTGGCTGTCAAAAGAAATTTTAATCATTGTACTGTTGATATTTGGCTCTGCTGAAGAATGAGTTTGCTGATTACTGATTTATGCTAATAAAAGGGCAATATGCTAATTAGACCAGGTAGACCAGACGTCTTCCAGGTGTCCTTCTGAACAAAGCTGCAGTCACTGCGAGGGCCAAGGAAGGCAGGCAGCTGTGGCAGCATCAGTGGGGTGATGGGGCAGCGCCTTCCCCTGATCGGCCAGTCGCCTCCCAAGAGGAAGGCCAGACTGCAACTTAGGCCTGCTCCCAAAAGCTGTCAGTACAACATACCCTGAGAGCTCACGGCCTGTGAAAGGGGGCAGGCTGGGCTGAGGGCCCTCGCCCCCCTCAGGACATGAATTTTCATGCACCATGCCTCTAGTATCTATATAAAGTCAGTACTAAGGGCTACTGAGAAGAATAAAGCAAGGCATTGGGTGATGGGATGATGGGGTGAACTGGTCAGGAAGGCCTCCAAGAAAATGCCACCATATTTCAAGCCCAGAGAACAGGTGAAATGGATATGCCGCTGCTAGAAATGAGGCTAAGAAGGTGACTTAGTTTGTAAGAGTACAGACAATGTGGGGAGTGTGTCAAGCTGTGACAAAAGAAGGATACCCACACAGAAAGGTCTAGACTCTATTACGCTAATCTTCCAGAACAGAGGAAGATAGAAATTAGAAAGGTAGGTTCCATAGAGTGATAAGAAACCTTCTCTCCAGCCGAAACCAGTTTGGCTCAGTGGATAGAGCGTCGGCCTGCGGACTGAAAGTTCCCAGGTTTGATTCCGGTCAAGGGCATGTACCTTTGTTGCTGGCACATCCCCAGGAGGAGGTGTGCAGGAGGCAGCTGATAAATGTTTCTCTCTCATCGATGTTTCTAACTCTCTATCCCTCTCTTTTCCTCTCTGTAAAAAATCAATAATATATAGATATTTTTTTTAAAAAGAAACTTTCTCTCCAAAAGATATTTACATGAAATAAAAGTAACTCAAGGATTGAAAAAAATTGAGTGTAAGATCCACAACTAGTTTTATCATGTCTCCCATGATGTTACCCTCCCTCCAGCTGCAGGGAACCCTGGGTTAGGTAGTGACTTCAGTAGGCAGCAAGCCTCTGGTTAACAAAATAATGCTACTAATAACTGAGGTTCACACATAACCAACCACCCAAAAGACCTCTGTCCCCTGCTCCTTCAGTCTCCAAGGCACAGTGGTAGGGACAGCTCTCTCCTCTTCCCTACTTCCCCCTTTTTATTGTTTTCTCTGCAGGTGGCTCTGGGGACCTTAATGTTTGGAAGAAAGGGATTTGGAAAGCAAAATAAATTTTAAACTAGCCTTCTTTGTCTTCCTAGAAATGTCAAGAATTAAATATTGGGGTAGACTAGCTGTTCCTGATTGCCCAGAACAGCCCCAGTTTCAGCATTGTAAGTCACGCATCTTGGGGAAACCCCTCAGCCCTGAGCAAAGAGGGACAGTTGGTCACCAAGGCTGCTCAGAACTTCACAGCAATAACCTGTGACTGACCTGTGTGTTGCAACGCAAGACTTTACATCTCTAAAGTGACATCAGGGCTTTAAGGCATGGGCTTGGTTTCCCAAGCTCTACCTAATCCCTCACCCTACAAGCTGGGTTCTCTTTCCCCACCCAGACAGAGGAGCTGTGTCAGCAATTCCTAGCTGGGGGTGGTCATGGATTCCTCAGCCTTCTATTCCCTTCATCTCTCTCTCAGCCCCAGCTAACACCTACACCAGGAACACCAGGTCCAAGGGCAACCCCAAAACCACCTGCTGCCCTCTCTGCCCAGCCCTGGCCAGCAAACTGGTGAGGTCTGTGGGGTTGAAGTCAGATTGTCAAAGAGGGAAAGAACTCATTTGAGCTGGTGATGTGCCCTCCCACCAAAAATCACAAGAAAGGGGAACCCCAGATACATTACAGTCTGCTGACCTTGAGGGACATGTGGTTTGCGTCCTTCGAGTTACAGAAACACCGGAAATACTGGCATGTCAATTGCGGAGTTTTGGGTTCATCGCTGGGCTGACTCATCTTCAGGGCAGAAACAAGGTAAAGGCCCTGATAGGAAGATGCACATGACATACTCTCCCAAAAGCCACCGTGTTTGCGACATTCGCAAATCTTGGAAAAGCCTACAGGTCATTTCTGCCAGTTATTAGAGATTCAAAGAAAATGCCAAGAATGATACTAATCTCTCCTTGTTATAGAATTTTCCTGCCTGACAAGGTTAAAAGGATAATAATAAGCAGGGGATACAATCTTCCAGAAATAATCCCAATTAGGACCATTGTCACCTTGACCACTGTGTACAGACAAAAATGTATAATGTTAAATTAGCTACTTAGGTAACCTTGACCCATCTGCACAAACCAACCCTATTTCCTGAACTATGAATAGCCCAGGCAAAAAGCAATTATTGATGCCATTTTTTAACTAAATTGTCTGAGAATTGCTTTAGACCACCTCCTCCTCTCCTAAAGAAAGATTGCTGTTAAAAATTTCAGAGATTCATATTTCTGATCCCTGAGACAGCTCTTCCTCCTATCCCTCCCCTCGGGGCTCAGCTTGAATGATTGTGACAGGCTGTTGCAAGATTGCATCACTGACCTTTGCAATTTTCTGGCCACTCCAATTTCCCCCTTCCTCCCCCTGCCCTCTCCCTTTCCTCCTTTAAAGCCCTTTGGCCTACCAGTTTCTCCTTTTCCTGACTTACTGGCTCTGGCATATGGAGAACCAAGCTAAACCAGAACCCCCATACGTACCCCTATTCACACACACACACACACACACACACACACACGGGATGATGTTTAATCCTAGTCACAATCAGTCCAACTATCCTCACCCTTCCTCTCCATTCTTCACCTTCTTCCCAAAGGCCACTCTCACTCTTCTCCCCCTGGGGCCTAAACTATGGTGAGCTGAGCTGGCACGGGAGTTGCACCCCCAGACTCAGGGCAGTGGCAAACAACTTTTGAGGACAGCAGGACATGCTTACATTCCAGACCTGCAGAGTAGCTTTTACAGACAACCCCTCTTCCATCTTCGTCTCCACCCCTGCCTCCACCTTCGCTTCTCACTTGGGAAAGAGGGCGATTTGGATTTAATGGCAGTTCCCTGATACACAGAAATACAAACACAAACACCTTCAGGCACACACACACACACACACACACACACGCCTGTGCATAACAGGGCACCCTCAGTGAATAAGCTGTCTATCAGGTGAGCCTCACAATGCAAGCACCAGTGAATAAAACCAGTCAGGCCAGAAAGAAACGGTATCTGCCCACAAGGCCTTAGGCAGAGCCTGGACACCTGCTCAGTTCTGTATCCCTCCCCCTTGCCTTCTCCCCTACGAACCCCCCCCCCCCAACTGTGGGAAGATGACAACCCTTCTGAATAAAAACGGGTGTTTTTTTCCTCTCAGGTAGAACCACAGATGTTAGGGGTCCTTCTCATTACGGGTCCTTCTCAGGCTGCCCCGGACCAGGGACGCTGCACACCCAGCCACCCCGCCAGGAGAGAGTCCGTGTGGCAAATGCACGCAGTTACCTCGGGCTCCGGTTCCCAGCCCTGCACGCACGCACCTGGAGCCGGACCTCCCACGTGCAGGCCTGCCCTCCCCTGCACCCCGGCGCGGCCTCCCCGTCCCGGCCCCCAGTTCACCCCGCCCCGGCGTGCACAGCTCGTGGCCGCCCCTCCCCCTCCCCGCCCTGCCCCGCTCCGCCCCGCCCCCAGGTCCCCCTTCCGGCTCCCCCCCTCCTCCGCCTCGCTGGCAGGCGCTGGCCCGCACCCAGGGAGCCCTGGAGGCGGGTCCAGGAGGGAGATTTAAGCGGCTGCGGGACCCGGCGGGATGTCAGCGGTGAAGTCTCCAGCCCAAAGAGCCGCAGCGGCCGCAGAGGAGGAGAACGCGGAGCCTGCCGGACAGACGGACGGACGCGCCCCCTGCCCAGCTCCCGCTGCCTCCTAGGAGCTCGCTGTGCATCCCGGTGAGCGGCGGGGCTGGGCTGGGCGCGGTGGGGCGCGGGGTCCTCCCTGCGGGGCTGGGGGCGATGCTGCGGCCCCCGGAGCGAGCCATCCCTCGGTGACTAACGGTCCCCTTTCTGCCCGCTCCTCCTCAGGTCCCTCCGGAGGGTCCCCGAGAGCCCCGAGCCGAGATGGAAACGGTGCAGGAGCTGATCCCTCTGGTGAAGGGGATGATCGGCCAGAAGCCGAGCCGCCGGCTGGTGAAGGTGTACGTGCTGGGCGGCGTGCTGGCCCTGTTCGGCGTGGTGCTGGTGCTGGTGGAGACTGTGTGCGGCCCCTTCACGGCCGCCAGCCGCCTGCGGGACGAGGAAGCCGCCGTGGCCGAGCTGCGCGCCGCCCGGGAGCGCCAGGCCCTGCACACGCAGGCCCTGCAGGAGAAGGAGAAAGGCAAGCAGCACGACGCCGCCCTGGGCAGCCGGGCCCTCGCCCACCGGCAGCACGCCTCCTAGAAACAAACTGTGGGAGCCAGGATGGGCGAGAGGAGAAGGAAAGAGAGCAAGCAGGAAAGAGACAGAGAGGAGACGGGGACAGAGGCTGATTCAAGCCGGGCAGCGCAGGAGGCCTGAGCTGTGTGGACTCGGGAGAAGCCGCTGCCTGCTGGAACTGACCGAGCTCAGAGACTCACCAAAAGGAGTCTAGGATGGGGTTTGCTGCTGTGCAGCACTGCGGAGGGATGGCATGTCCAAAGCCACGTGTCTTGGAGCTGAGTGCACCTGTTATGTTGCACTGGGGCAGAAGGGGGAGAAATGCTTTTTATATTATTATTGTTATTGTTATTGTTGTTGTTATTTTTACAATGACCGTTATTTTGCATTTTGAAAATGAAAACATTTTGTACTATATCTGTGTCTGATTCCTGGGGGGCATGGTTCTCTGGGTGGGTGGGCAGCAGAGGGGGCGGGCTTGCAGGTGAGGGGGTCTCCCTGAGTGAGCCCTGCAGGTCAGGCTCTCCTTCCTGCCCTGCTGGGAGCTCTGGTATTCGCATCCCATGCTTCTAAGTCGGTTGAGGATTTGGTTTTGTTTCACCTTGGCAGTGGGAAGAGAGAGACACTTCCGTAAGTCCCACCAGACTTAACGTTTTAAGATCAGAATGTCAGCTTCTGAGCTGGGAGACGTGAATGGGAGGTATGGATCAGTTCTGGGACAGAAGGTGCAGCTGTCATTTCACACCTGTACACCAGAGGCTCCTGTGGCTGATACCTCTTTCTTCCTACCCATATGTTAGCAAGAGACAGAGGGAGAGGAGAAAGGGGAGGGGGAGGGAGGAAACCAGCCAGCTGGTGGGAAAGGAGGGAAGACAAGCTCCCAAGAACCCCCAATTGGATGTCTGGTTCTACCCAGCCTTCCTCCCTAGAAACTCAAATTGCAGTAAGAGACCCTGAGGTCAGAAGGACAAAAGACTGGTTGTCGCAGACCTGAGTCCTCTTCCTCCAGGGACCACGCTGGCTTTGCGGTGATAACTAATTCAGTGTGCCTGTCTGAGGGGCTCAGCAAAGGAAATGTTGAATAATGACTCCTAAAGAGGCAATGAGGAACATGGGCTTGATGCCACGCTCCTGGCAATTTTAATGTGTGTCCTGCCCTAGCCAGGTGGGCAAGTCACTCGGCATCAATAGCGATGCGTTTTTGCCAAACGTGCCAATGGCTCCTGTCTTTGCCTCTGATCAGACCCTCTCCACCACCACCTCCTCCCACACACCCCTCCATCGTATTTCTGCCAGCTCAAATTCTACCCGGGGTTCCTGGCCCTGATCAAATGTCATCTCTCCCTGAAATGTTTCCTTATCGCTCCAAACAAAAGAGCAGCCAAAAGGGGGTGAGAGTAATCAAGGGGAAAGAGACATGTTTAAAGGAAGAGAAGAATATCAGTGTTCTCTCTGTTTCCACATTGGGAACGCCATCCCTATATTAAGATATAGCCTCACCTTAAACTTGTCCAATCTGGTTCTCCCAGTTTGTCTACCCAAGTGCCTCTCCTTTTATGTTAATTATTCCTCCTCCCATTTAACCACCACTGTGTCCAGCTCTCAACAGCTGAAACCACTTCCTCGGACATTCCCCCCAAACTCACTCATTGCCAAACTCTTCTTCCTTCATGCGGTGAGCCTAACTGATTAAAACTAAAGAGGAAAGGAGATACAGCGCAGAATTTCGGTCCAAAAAAGTCAGTTGCGCGCTCACGGAATCATGAAGGCATATGCTAGCCGCAGATGCTGTGGAAAAAGACATAGGTTTCTTCACCAGCTACAAGTCCAATATGAGCCAACAAGAGCTAGTGACAAGGCTGCCAGAACAAAGCAGCACCTTGTTGGTAAAAGCAGGCTGTCCAGGAAGAGGGAAGAGGAGGCGGTTTTGTTTTACTTGGCAATCCGCAGGTGGGAAACAAAAGAAGTCAAGTCCCGCTGCCTGAGTGCTTGGATTTGCAATCTGACTCCCTATTTGTGAGCTCTAAGGCCCTGAACAAGTAAGTTACTTATAAACTGCCTACCTCTGGTTACTTAAACTGCTCACCTGTAAAATAGTGTCTTCCTCGTGGCCTGATTTTGCAAATTCAATGAGCTTAGTGCTTAGAGAGTGCCTGGCATATACTAGGGCAGTGGACCCTTGAACAAGTCAGTTAGGGGCACTGACTTCTGTTGCAGTTGAACATCCACCTGTAGTTTTTGACTTCCCCAAAACCTAACTACTTTCATTATCCATGGGGGATTGGTTCCAGCTAACCAATTCATCTCATGAATGCCAAAATCTGTGCATGTTCAACCCCCCTATATAAAATAGTGTAGATCAATGCATATAGTAGGCCCTCCAAATCCGTGGACTCCCAACCGTGGATTAAAAAAATGTATAAGTATTTACTGAAGAAGTTCTTGGCCCTGAATGGATGGCTAAATTAGTTGGAGCATCATTCCATACCCCCCCTAAAAAAGGTGCAGGTTCGACTCCCAGTCAGAGCACATACCTAGATTTCAACCCTGGTTGGGGCAAAAAACAGGAGACAACCGAACAATGTTTCACATCAATATTTCCTCTCTCTCTCTCTCTCTCTCTCTCTCTCTCGCTCTCTCTCTCTCTCTCTCTCTGTGTGTGTGTGTATGTATGTGTGATGAGAGAGTGTGTCTGTATTTTTTCTCTTTGTGTGTGTGTGTATTTTTTTCTCTCTCTTTTTTTCTCTAAAAATAAATGAAAACATATTCTTGGGTGAAGATATAAAAAGAAGAAAGAAAAGAAAAAGTTATCGTATAAATAGATCCATGCAGTTCAAATCCATATTGTTCAAGGGTCAACTGTAGTAATTTTTCAGTCAATGAGAGTTATTGTAATTGTTGTTGCTATAATTTAAGACAAAAATGCTTTGATTAGAGTGACTTGGGCAGATAACAATCCAGAACCCCTGTCACATACAGGAGAATCAAATGGATCGCTAGAGAAGAGAATATGCAGTAGTGTCACATAGCAATTGCCTTCACATAGTTGAAGGGAAATCGGAGCATTTCCAAACATAATACCTTTCTTGTGATGTATAGTAAGAGCCTCATTACTAAAAGCACTCAAGCAGAATTTAGACACCATTTGCCAGGGATGGTATAACATGGAGAGGAAATTTCTGAACTTGGAGGGATGTTAGTCTTATGAGCTCTGAGGTCTCATCCAATTATAAGATGACAGGATTCCGTTTAGTAAAACCACCAAATAAGGGTTGCTTCTCTAGAACTCACCATCCCTTCTTTTCTATTTCCAATGCCTCTTTGCTCTTTTTCTCAGCATGCTGACAAAGATTTTCCTTCTTGCTAGATAATTAAAAGTAATGAATTTAATCCCCCAAATGAACTACTTCCTGATTAAATTTATCTAACTATTATAATAGTCTTGCCTCTTAGAAAATGCCTAAACCTAGTGGCTGGACCTAATAGTTCTCAAACTTTGTCATAATGACAAACACTTCCTAGTCACCTTGCTCAGTACAAAACTCCACGGAACTCTGATCTATGAACACAAATAAATATATTATTTTGTGTTTTATCAGATGCCAATTTGCACTATCTTCTATTGAAAACAAATAGTAAGAATCAACTATGAGAATATTAAAAAGTTACCACACTCTTGGGGAAAGTTTGATTGCTCTATAATCATTGTACCCGGAATTTGTTTTAAACCCTTGGCTCAATCAGTGACAGTTCACCTCAGTTAAGACACTTTTATAAGCCAATCAATAAGTGTTAGCCCTGAAGGTCAGCCAACCAGGAACTAACTCACCCGTAAGTAAATTTCAGAGTGCTAGCCATCAACAAATGCTTCCATAGATGATGTCAGCACGCATAGGTCTCAGGAAGGACACCACTCCCTGAACTCCATACTTCCCAAAAATCAACAATGTACTTACTGAGTTCCTTGGGTAAACTCTATTTACCCTTCAGTCAACTGCCAGATAAATCAGACCCAATACTAACCGGTGCTCAGCTAATTTCATTGAGTTCTCATCATTTTTATGATTTTTAACCAAGCAGGTCATTGTATAAAATTGTTAGCCCTTAATCTTTGTATAAAGTAATTGGAAATTTTAGTTTGCAGGTATACATTCTGGTTACTTACACCTAGGTGTTTGTGTAAGGTCCTTTGATACTTGGTAGATCATTGAATAAATAGACACAGATCTGTATATTAGACCTTTTGTTTTGGGAGGTGTACCATTTGACAACTATTTTTGCCATTAAATTGCTTATTCTCCTGGTGCTCATTTTTCTTTTGCTTTTATTTGTCTATATTAAAAAGTCTCATTATATGTGTTTTTGTTTTGTTCTGGAATACAGTGTTTTATCATAGATGAATAAGGGAGTACTTCATATGGAATGGCCCAAGTCACTAATCTAGTCCAAGCTGGTCCTAAGGTATGATGGCAGGAAGTCCATTAGTCAGGTGACCAATTCGGGAAAGGGCAATTGGTCAAACTTAGCTGTAGGTTTTACAAAACATTCATGTGGGCGCCGTCTTGTCAATGTGTGACAGATTACTTTTAGTCTGCATGCCAGGGTCAGATTGTCAGGTCATTACCTGCATGGCCCACTCCTAACTTTTGCTTATAAAGGAAACCCAAGATACCATTTGCAGGCACACGCTCTTACTGAGCTGCTCTCTTAGGTTCTCCTGTGTCACACCCCAACTTCCTCTTGGAAAATTCCTGATTTCCATATAAAGTTGCACTGTAATCCTAACTCTTGCACTTACTTTGATAAAACGCATTTTCTTTACAATAACAATGGCCATTATATGGAGAACTTTTGGCATGTCAAAATCAACAAATTAATTCATTTACAAGAATTTTTGGCATTTTGAAATCAACAAATTAATTCATTTATAATGAATACATTTAAGAGGAACCCCAGAAATCTACAAAGTCAAGTTTACTTCTTTAACTATCGATAGTATGCTAAGATTTAAAAAACAAAATTTGCACTCCAGCATGGTCTTTTCAAAGACTCTGAAACCAACCCTAATTTAATTTCTCTCTCTTTCCACTCATCTTTACATGACCTTTGATGTGAACCACCCATTTTTTCCGAGTTTTACTGGGGAAAAAACAATCACATTATAAAATTGCAAAATCAGAAGGCACCTCTAAAGAAGTTGAATGAACCATTCTTTGTTTTTACTGTTGTTGCTTATGTTTTTAGTTCAAATAAATAGAATTTTTTTTAAGAAGTTAAATTTAAACCTTGGTCTAGAGCCGTATTAAGTTATAATTAAGGATTTTCCTAAACCACAGGAAGCCAGGTAGAAATCTATTACATAATTCAAGATTTTATTAGCTAATTATTGTTCTGAACTACAAATCAGTACAAGTTCAGTTGTTAGTCCTTCAACTGAAGGGGAAAAATTTTTGTTTAAAACCAGAAGGATAAGAAAGAATACATTGTAATAACTCATCTGTGTCAAATGAAGAAAACATTGTCTTCAGAGAGCAAGAAAAAAAAATTAAAATACAGCACAAAAGACAATTCCAGAAGCCTTTTTTAAAAAAAGTTACATTGACTAAAGATTCAAAGTTATAAGCTAAGTAAAAATAAAAACAGATTTCAAGAAATTTTAAAAAAATATTCTGGAATTTAACAATAGTTGAAGTTAAGGAGACTTTTCTTTTTCATTATTACTTTGGTTTGTTTTTTTGTTTTGTTTTGTTTTTTGTTTTTCTTCTTATGGGCTCAAATATGAATAAAGGGACTTAATGAGAAAAAAAACATTAATTGAAATCCAAAATGAACTGTTGAGAAAATATTCAATATGTGGGTAGACATTTTCAGAGAGCCTCAGAAAGGAAATGAACTAGAAAACTCCAGATACGACAACTGGCTTCTGAAAGGAAAACAAGACTAGAAGGTCTTCTATCCTCTGAGAATTGGGAGCCTATAGGTGAATACACTTGCAGAGAGTATAAGCAGAAGGATCACTGGAAGAACCAATGTCCCTTTTTGACTAAGAAACAGAAAGATGACCATGTAAAATCTGTCCAGTGATGCTGCTCCCAAGGAGACATTATTAGTACCCAACAACTTCAACCCTTCCTCTAACTTGATGCCCCCAAATCTCAGAGAGACCGGTGTGCAACCACATCAATTATACTCACCATCAAGGGAGAGCTGTGTCCAGTTTGGCTCATCACTCTATTCCCAGCTCCTATGCCAATGCCTGGCATGGACTAGGTGCTCATTAACTCTTTGTTGAATAGTGAATACATAAATGGATGAAGAGAGTAACCTCTTTGTTGACTTAATCCAAAAGAATGAAAACCTCTGAATTGGGTATGATGCTCCATCACTAATTGGTGTAAATCAGGCTGGAATTATTATCCCTTCTTATGGAGTCCTACCTGGATCCTCTTGCAGGCACCTGTCTCCCCTCTGCCATCCATGCTCCTGTTGATAGGATCACTATAATGGTTTATAAGTCACAGAGGTTATTGCTTAAAGGGGTTAAAATCGATAAATGTGTAGAAGTGCTCTTCAAGCGTGTTGGGGAATGAGACAAACACTCGAAAATGGGTCAGTAAGGCAAATTTATTTTTGCACAAAAGGGTGTGCTGCCATTAGCAACAACAGGGCAGGCAGGCACACACAATGAAGATTCCGCTCTCATTTTTTATCTGTTCCCTGATGAATTACTGCACCGTATCCTGAATGGCTGAAGGACGTGGCTTTACAGTCTGGCGCCAATGTCTAACTGAGAAAGGCGCTATAAGGAAGGAGGTTGGATGTTTGTAGGGGAGTGGGACAAACAACCTCTTCTTCAGGAATGTTTACACTTCTGGTTACTTATTCGATTGTTAATTACCCGCCAATCTAATGAGGGGAGTTCATAGCTGTAACTTTAATGGAAAAGACTTGTTAACTCTTACACACTCAACATTGGATCACTAGATTCTCTTTTCGTAGGAGGGAAAATCTGTTCCATTATTGTTTCAATACTTTTCTTTGAGGCAAAGCCAGGAATCCGAGAGAGCAAAAGCCTACTAAAGGTGGGACAGGGGTTCTGCCTGGTGTGCCTCTGGCATGTTTAAAGCTCACAATAGTAATGGGTACGTCTCCAGGGCAACCAGGACCACTTCCAATCATTCATGCCCTGGGGCTGCCTCAGGAGGTCCCTTGTTCTATGGGGAACCCTGATGCTTGCCCCCAAGATTGGCCTTCCCTTTAGGGCTCCTCTCCCAGGCATCTCCTGGCTGCACCATCGATTCCCAGCACAAGGTCTTCTTCCTTGACCTAGGTTTCCCCTTCTTGTATCAGGTGGCAGACCAGCTGGTTCCAGTCCCGAACCAGATCTTCTGACTCCTCCCAGAAACCAACCAACTTGTGAGCAGGAAATCTCGCCCCTCCCCAAAGAGTGGGAAGCCGCAGAGGAAGAGAGAGATGAAACAGAAGGGAAGGCAGAGGAGGAGAGAGGGCAAGAAAAGAAGCAAAAGGAAAAAAGGAGATCCATAAAAAGAAGTCAAATTTGGTTGACACCTCAAGGTAAGACTTTTTAAAATCCCATTATGTTTTATAGCATCACCATTGGGTCAGGGCCTCGTTCGTAGTATGTGCTCAGAAAACCACTTATGAAATAATTAAATAAATTAGAGGGCTCGGCTGAAGAGAGATTTCAGTGTCAAATGCTGGTCAAAGGAAAAAACAAAGAAGAAGAAGAAGAAATGCCCAATGAGTTAAGAAATAAATCTGTAGGAGGGAAGATGTAAGACAGATGGAACCAGACGCCTGACACTGGCACTGAGGGCATTTTGATCATCCTGGGACAGAAAGTTAAGATGGAATGAAAATGTTGCAAAAATAGTTTTTAAAAATGTCTGCACGTCCTTTGAAATCCTACAAAGATTGCAGGTCGTAAGCATTTTTTTAAAAATTGGCTTTAACCCGATGACAGAGCACAAACATCAGGCGATCTCCTGGGAATTGCTAAAAGTGCTGGAAACTGCATCTTGCAGCCAATCATCAGCCAGTTGAGCATTATTAATATGGAGATTGGGAGCTTTGAGAAAGGCTCCTTTTATTTATCATTTTATTTTTAAAATGTTTTATTGATATTTTTTACAGAGAGGAAGGGAGAGGCATAGAGAGCTACTATAGAAACAATGATGAGAGAGAAACATTCATTGGTCAGCTGCCTCCTGCATACCCCCTTCTGGGGTTGTGCTCACAACCAAGGTATACGCCCATGACTGGAATTGAACCTGGGACCCTTCAGTCCGCAGGTCGATATTCTATCCACTGAGCCAAACCAGTTAGAGCTGAGAAAGGCTCATATTATTTCGACAAATCTTGTTCAATGAACCAAGGGAGGCCTAACATTGTCAGTCAAAGTTCTTCACATACTCTTCACCTGTTCCTTAGTCCCAGTCCTGCCTGGCTGCTCAGGACACTAGGATACAGGCCTTCTGAGCTTTAAAAGGGCCTGTGCAGAGCAAATTCAAAGGCACTTCTTTCAGGCCAGTTAGAGAAATGATGACAGGAACAGGAAATGCCAGTCCCCACTCCCACCATTTACCCGAACCCTCCCTTGCCATCAATAACAGTCTCACCCAGAAGCTTGCGGTTTTCTGATCCAATCTTGGACAAATTTAAACAGCTAGACTCAGGCTTTGGAAAGCGCCTACTCACAGACAGACGATGGTGATGTGTTTTGAGCTGGCTTTTGAGAGTCCCGCTCCTCCAGCTTTTCCAACAGAGCTTAAGAATTCAGAGGGACACCCTCGAGTGGGCTTTTTAGTGCCTGTATCTCTCGTTGGGGTTTGTGTGAGTAAATCAAGGTCAGAAGCTGGAAGGAGGGTGGAGAGACAGAAGGATCTCACTTGTGCTTGCTTGCCAAGATGTAAAAGGAATTGCCTTTTCCTCTGTAGCATGATAAGAAAATAAAACCCGAAAAAAATCCAAGGTTGCTTTTACATTATTTCAGTACAGCTAAAAGCTTCCCACATCCAATTTCTGAGCTGGAACAAATCTTAGCGCTAATCTAATTTAATTCCTCTCATTTGCCAGGTGAGGGAATGAAAGCCAAGGCCAGGGAAGGGCCTTGTCCAAGGATACACATATGTCAGTGGTGGAGGGGGGGTCTGGGCCTCAGTTCTCTGGTCCCCTCTGGGGTCTTTCAGGAAGCCACCCAAACTTTACAGGAAGATGCCCCAGATGCCCGAGAACTCATAAATACTGCATTTGCTGATTAAATAAAATGTTTTGTTCAAAGTTGCTCAATTAATCCTGGCCTGGCCAAAATGGAAAGAGAGAAAAGGTTTTCCTAATAGTTAAGATTTTTCCAGAATCCGTTTTGTAACTGTCAAGGGACTAGATATCATGGAAGAAGGATTTAAGCCAGGTTTGTCCTAAGAGAACTAGAATATTTTACATTCCGACCATTCATCCAGGGTTACATAGCTCATCTCGTCATACAACCTCATGACATTTTCATTTTACAAATAATATTTTATAATTTGCTCAGATTTACAGAGGGAATCACATATTCTGCATCTCTCTGGACTAACATGGATACTTGTTCAGTGGCCACTCCCCCACGTGCTCCAATTTCAGTCTAGGTGATGTTCCTTAGGCATGTTATGCTCTTTCTAGACCCCTTGCCTGAACACAGGGAGTTCCCTCTGCTTGGATTGCCCTTCCCCCAACTTCATCTCCATAACTTGTACTTATCCTTCAAAGTTTAACTCCAGGGCCACCTCCTCCCAGAAGCACTTCCCCCTCTCTGAGCTGATTTGGATGGCCTGTTCTGTACTCCTCTAATAACTTCTCATCTGCAAAAGATGGTTCATGGTATCCAACATGAAAACGGTAACGAGAATGAAATGAGATCATCGTCATGAAAATGGCTAGCACAAGGCAATATGTGCACCCTTGTTATAGTATGTTATTAGCTACTGTGCCTTTTAATTTACTTGCCTGCCTGCCTTATGTTTAACTACAACTTCCTTGAAGAAAGATAGCAAATATTGCTCAGCTTTTATATTCCTGGCACCTAGCATAGCTTAGATTTTTTATTATTGTAGTACTCAATACATGTTTGGAAAGACTGGATGAATAAACAAATGGAATACTTTTCCTCCTTTCCTTCCATTAAAATCATTTAATGTCTCATTTCCACACTCTGGACTCTTGGGTAACTTAGGGGAGGAAATAGAAGATGCCACAAGTTTCCCTTTATTTCAAGCCCGACAGTCTACTCGAAAGGGCTACCTGCCCACGGTTAAACGTGGGAGTTGAAAAGCCACATTCACTTCTGCTTTCATACAAAATGTACTTATCACAGCAGGAGAATTGACATGCTATAAAACACAAGGTCAAAAAGAACTGGAATGGAAACAATAGCGGATGAGAGATGTCAACACTCTTTTGCAACAGGGAAAGTAAATGGACGAGTGATACGTGACTTAGCACACTGGAGGCCGCTGGAGGAAGCCCAAGTGCCCGCGGCAGGAGGCCAACAAGAAGTCACCGAGCCAGGAGAGTCTCGGGAACCAGGGCAATGGGATCTCAGAACAGAGAGGGGCAGAGGGGCCAACCCCAGGAGATGCTCCAGATCCCCTCTCCTGCCCTCCACCTGAAGAAGGAAAGTCTATATTCTGGAGAAACTGGCCTAAGAGGCAGCAGACTCAACAGAGCGTTGGGTTTAGGCATGGAGCTAGAAGCAGGATTAGAGAAAGACTCCATCCTGAAAGATGAGATTCCCCAGCTCCTTGTTCTGGCTTAGCTCCCGGAACACCACCAGCAGGGTCTATATCCCTCCCCAGCCCACACTAGGCAGAAAATCTAAGGATTCCTCTGTGTAGAAGATATTCAACCAAAGGGAAAACAACTAAGGCCCCTGATATTTGGGGTCCCCCAAATGAAAATATCCAGTACCCTCTGGATTATCCTACAGTAGAGACAACAGCTAGCCAGCCTTGCCTGTTCACACAGAGCTTCCTTTTATTCCAAGGATCATCAATCATGGAATAAAAGCCTTCGACATTGAAGATAAAACTCCAAAATAATCAAGAGAACAAAAGAGTTAATTCTCAACAACATCGAAATTACCTCTGAGATAAAAACAGGGCCTCCATGAGTGAAGAGCAGGAAACGGATGTTTTTAAAAAGTAGGAGGGAACAAGAGCTTTTTAAAATAAAAAATAAAAAAATAAATGCAACTAGAGATATAAATTTCAATGAAGCATTGCAAGATAAAATTGACAAAATCTCCTGGAAAGCAGGTCAAAAAGGAAAATAACTTTAAAAATAGGACAATAACAATAAGAAACTGACATGGATCAATTCAGGAGCGCTGACATCTTCTAATATGAATTCCAAAAAGAAAGCACAGAGAAAACTAAGTAAAATACATTAACCAGAAAATGAATGTCTCCAAAATTTCCCACAATGAAAGATTTGCATCTCCCTATGGAAAGGCCCAGTGTATGCTCAACATAACAAATGAAAGAAAAAAAAAGAAAAAAAAACTCTCCTCAAAATACATCATTATAAATGTTAGAACCTAGTGATAAAAGGATCCCAAAAGTTCTCCAAAGAGGAAAACCAGTTCACAAACCAAGGATCAGGAATCCGGGCAGCAACTGGACTTTGCAGGATCAACGCTGGGAGCTGGGAGCTGAAGGGCAATCCAGCAGTGTCTCCCTCTTCCGAGAGAAAATAATCTCCAACCTAGAAGTCCCTACCCAGCCAAACCATGAATCAAGGCGAGGGTGAAATAAGGACGAGCCGGCAGGAGCTGTCACCCTGGGGTTTCTGTGGCCATGACTGGATGGATGGGTGCCCATGTGAAAAGGTTAAGAGTAAAATAGCACTCCTGCATCCAAGGACTCAAAGAATTTCCTTACCACTTAGGAAAAGTTAACCGGGAGAGGAGTCGGAGTTCCCATGTGGATGGCAAAGGAATGTCCCAGTGACCAGCCTATCAAGCTTTTGCTGCAAATTGGCACAGCAGGAATGGGGGCTCCAAGAGGGATGCCACCAAGGGGAAAAAAATCAGATTATCTAATGAATTTAACATATTTATTTTTCTAGCTCTTGTCAGAGGATTTGGAAAACATGGAAGCAAACAAACAAAAGTGTGACTGTAAACTCTAGTAAAGAGGGAAGGTGGGAAGAATAAAAGAAAAGCAATGCAATCAGTACATTACATTGCTGAGCTGAAAATAATTAGTAATAATAACATGAACACTGACTACTCATTTAATTAAAATGATGAAAGAATAACACTAGGAATCTAGAAGAAGGGAAATGAGTCTCTACATGTGTTGTTAAAAAAAAAAAAAGCAAAATCCTAATATTTCTTAGTAGAAAATCAATAAATGATTTCTAAAATTCCATAATCGAAGAACAGTAGTAGAAGCATATTGTTTTAAAACATGTGGTTAATTCTCAGAGGAAAATAAATAAGGTTTAATAAAGGGATTGCCATGTGGCTCAGCTGGTTGGGCAGCATCCACTGCACCAGGAGGTTGCCAGTTCGATTC